GCTGGAAGACTAAATATACAGCACACAGGTCACGTCAGGTCAATGTCTGCAGGACTCAAACAAAAGCGGTTTGTGTTTATTTACTGACGCACCTGCTCGCAGGAGGATGACTTGATCGTCCAGTGGGAGATCAGAAAAGTGAGGTATCCGCTTGGCCCACTCCACTAAGGTAAAGAGCTGCTTGTCAGCTGCTTGGCAGATGTTTGTTACAGGGTCATTAGGCTGGAAAGAGAGAGAGAAAGAGAGAGAGAGAGAGAAAGGTGAACTCTATGGCAGTATAGCTTACTTGGATACACACAGAAAGAAAAAAACACAAATGAGTTCTCTTTTGTCAGTTCTCTTTTGTCAGTTGTTTCTCCTAGACAACAATGAGGAGCAAACTTTTGCTTTTGTCTCCTCAATCTCAGATTGTCTCCTTGGAAAATACCCCTAGTAATCTCGTAGCTTCAGAAAGGATCTCGGCAATGTCTCAAAGGGCCAAGATACCAGCATATGCAGGAAAAACTCATTTTCAAAACATTTCTCATCAAATTAGACTAAATGATGCTATCCATATTAATTTCATTCATAGCTCTATACATGCATCTTCATTTCTATTTTAATTTCTCCTTTGAAATTTTAGGAGAAAATTCTCAGACAAAGGTGGTACTTAATGTTTTACTTTACACAATATTCTAAATAAATTAAAAGTAATTCATTGTCATTTAATAATTTGTAATGGTTTGAGTCTTATCTCTCAAATAGGTCCTTCAAGATATCTTGGAGAGGTGAGGTGTCCAAGTCACAACATCTAACTACTGGGGTGCCTTATTCAACATCAAGAAGATCAGGCCCTTTCTTTCGGAACATGCTTCACAACTCCTTGTTCAAGCTCTTGTTCTGTCCAGGCTGGACTATTGCAATGCTCTCTTGGCAGGTCTTCCAGCCAGTTCTATCAAACCTTTACAATTAATACAGAAAGCGGCAGCAAGATTAATTTTTAACGAGCCGAAAAGAATGCACGTCACACCTCTGTTTATCAATTTGCACTGGCTACCATAGGTGCTCGCATAAAATTCAAGGCATTAATGTTTGCCTACAAAACCACCACTGGCTCTGCACCCCTTTACCTAAATTAATTACTTCAGACTTATGTGCCCTATAAAAGTTTGCGTTCTGCAAGTGAATGTCACTTTATTGAGCCATCCCAAAGAGGCACAAAATCACTTTCATGGACTTTTAAATTAAATGTTCCCTCCTGGTGGAATGACCTGCCCAACTCAATCCGAGCAGCCTGTTCCCTCCTGGTGGAATGACCTGCCCAATTCGAGCAACTGAGTCCTTAGCCATCTTCAAGAAATGACTAACACATCTCTTCCATCTATATTTGACCCTCTAACTCTAGCACTCTCTATTCTAATTCTATTCTTTATATAAAAAAAATGTAAAAACTTGCCCCTTTTAGACTTGCACTCTATTTACTAGCTGCTTGTTTTCTTTAAAAAAATAAAACTAACACTTGCTTCTCTAATAATTTTGTATTCTATCTATTTGTTTTATTTTTTATTTATTTTACAATTAACAAAAGCAAATAAAGAGACAAAAGGCCTCTAACACTAGCTTGCTCTATTCTTTTTCTATTCTATCTGTTTTCTTTTTATTTATTATATGATTTAAAAAAATGCTATGTGTACTGCATTAAGCTAACTGAGACTTGTTATAGCACTTGCATATTATTGCTCTTTTGTTGATTGCTTCCATTGTCCTCAATTGTAAGTCACTTTGGATAAAAGTGTCTGCTAAATGTCTAAATGTAATGTAAATGTAATTTTCAGTAAAATGTAACAACTTGTGTGGATGGGTAAGATATTGTATGGGTTAACATACTATATTGGCATTTATATACTACTGTTCAAAAGTTTGGGTTCAGAAAGGTGTTTTTTTCCCTTCTTTTTTTATTTAATTAATACTTTCATTCTGCAAGGATGCATTAAAATGACTTTGACACAACTTTGACATCACAGGAACAAAATTCATATAAAAAGTTATTTTGAATTGTAAATAACAATATTTCACAATATTCATATTTTTACTGTTTTTTAATCAAACAAATGCAGCCTTGATTAGCATAAGAGAGTTCTTTCAAAAAAAACTTTAAAAAATCTTAACAACCACAGACTTTTGAAATAGTGTATTTCTACATAAATATATGCTTTTGGACATATAAAACGTTTAATGAGAGTACAATAACAGACAGTGCTGGAATAAGGACAAAATGTATTTGCAAACTCTGGTTTTGAGTTGTATTATTGATTTCACTATGTGACATGTTACTTTATGCTATTTGCATTCAGCATAGATATCACCAAGAGAAACTCAGCTGTCAAACTCAATGATGTGAGTGGAAAATGAACAGATATCTTGTGGGAAGTCTTGTGGAAATCATTCCTGTCATTTGCCCCCAGTGGAATATTTTTATTTTCAGTTTAACTCCTTTAAGTCTTTCCTTCTGCTCAAGTAATCCAAACTCTCCAGCCCAGAATCAATCAGAACAAGCACTCATGAACCAGCAGCCTGAAATGTCAGAGCACTCTGTACAGAAATAATATAATTCAAAACAATATAATTAAGTGTGAAACGCATGCAATGCTTTTGGACACTTAAGTGCTTGTTAATTGCAATTAAATGAAAATGTATTATAGTTCAAATTTATATTAAATGCAATCGCTGAAATTTGGATTGCTTTTTTGACCCGCACTGTAATTTTTGTAATTTGAACAGTATTTTACTGTAATATGTACAGTAATATACTGTAAAATGTGTATACAGTATTTTACTGTAAACAGCAAAGGATTATGGGAAAACATACGGTCACTACTGTATTTCCTCACTACTGTAAATCAATTTACAGTAGTGAACTTGCCCGCGAAAAACTGACCAATGGCAAGGGAGATTTCTTTTTTGACTGTTTGGTTGAAGTGGCCATAAAAGGACAAAAGAGAAACACCGTTAACTGGACAAAAAGGTTAGTATATTATTTCTGTTTTATGCAAAACTGCGATATTTTAAGATATTTGCACTTAATTATTAACAGCAAACTGACATTATTCATCGTGTCATTTTTCATGTCGGGAGTTGGAGCCTTTTTTTCTGACTAACGGCCGGAATGCCGCCAAAAGGCTGATAACATCGACTGGTGAGTAAGTTAAGGTTACCTATATTAGTCGAAATAAACCTTATTAAACCTTAAGCCGGGCTCACACTACAGGAGTTTTAAAATCCTAACCGATTATGAAATCTGGTTGCAGCACACACATAAGGAGAATTAAGGACAAAATGTATTTGCAAACTCTGGTTTTGAGTTGTATTATTGATTTCACTATGTGACATGTTACTTTATGCTATTTGCATTCAGCATAGATATCACCAAGAGAAACTCAGCTGTCAAACTCAATGATGTGAGTGGAAAATGAACAGATATCTTGTGGGAAGTCTTGTGGAAATCATTCCTGTCATTTGCCCCCAGTGGAATATTTTTATTTTCAGTTTAACTCCTTTAAGTCTTTCCTTCTGCTCAAGTAATCCAAACTCTCCAGCCCAGAATCAATCAGAACAAGCACTCATGAACCAGCAGCCTGAAATGTCAGAGCACTCTGTACAGAAATAATATAATTCAAAACAATATAATTAAGTGTGAAACGCATGCAATGCTTTTGGACACTTAAGTGCTTGTTAATTGCAATTAAATGAAAATGTATTATAGTTCAAATTTATATTAAATGCAATCGCTGAAATTTGGATTGCTTTTTTGACCCGCACTGTAATTTTTGTAATTTGAACAGTATTTTACTGTAATATGTACAGTAATATACTGTAAAATGTGTATACAGTATTTTACTGTAAACAGCAAAGGATTATGGGAAAACATACGGTCACTACTGTATTTCCTCACTACTGTAAATCAATTTACAGTAGTGAACTTGCCCGCGAAAAACTGACCAATGGCAAGGGAGATTTCTTTTTTGACTGTTTGGTTGAAGTGGCCATAAAAGGACAAAAGAGAAACACCGTTAACTGGACAAAAAGGTTAGTATATTATTTCTGTTTTATGCAAAACTGCGATATTTTAAGATATTTGCACTTAATTATTAACAGCAAACTGACATTATTCATCGTGTCATTTTTCATGTCGGGAGTTGGAGCCTTTTTTTCTGACTAACGGCCGGAATGCCGCCAAAAGGCTGATAACATCGACTGGTGAGTAAGTTAAGGTTACCTATATTAGTCGAAATAAACCTTATTAAACCTTAAGCCGGGCTCACACTACAGGAGTTTTAAAATCCTAACCGATTATGAAATCTGGTTGCAGCACACACATCTTAAACATGTCTCTTCTTTATACTTAATTTTAAGCGGTTTCTACAGCGTGATCTTAATGACAAATGTCGAGAGCGCATAATCCCAACAAACATGAGACGTCGGCCCGACGTGCAGATCATGTCTATATTGCGTCGGTCGGTCCAGGACCGTATCTGTACGTCTAATCGACGTGCAAATCCGGTGGTATCTGGACGTCTGACTACGACGTCCCTTGGACGTAGAAATGCAGTTCAAAATTTGAACGTCTGACTAGGAGTTTTTTTTGGACGTCTGTACAACGTGCAGAACAGGTTCAGGAAATCGACGTAAGAACTTTTTATACAAATAAACATGACAAAACAATCCTGTGAGTTCTGATTTAAAAAAAAATTAAGGAATGCCGCCAAAAGGCTGATAACATCGACTGGTGAGTAAGTTAAGGTCACCTATATTGCTCGAAATAAACCTTAGTTAAACTGAGAAACACGTTTGTACGTTCTGCTGCCCTTTAATGCAAGTTAGCTCCTCTGGTGAGTTGTTATTTAACCTTAACAGCGAATTAACGTGAAATACTGAGGTAAAGTGCATTAGGCAACATCACAGTTTCATTCATAGGTTTCAGTGGAGATTTTAAACAGTATTTTCTAACGTTACTTCTTTTGTTTGTTATTTTCAGACTTTTAGTCTGGATGTAGTCTGCAACGTCGGAGGTGTATTTTAGATCCTCTTCTTGTGAATGCCATAGTATCGATGATAACATCAACTGGTAAGTTAATAATGTAATTTAGCCGAAGTTAACTAACTTAGTTGAACAAAGAGAAGCATAGTAAGTTATCTTCTCTACTCTGCCTCTTTATCGCAACTAACTCTGCCTCTTTATTTGCTAATTCTCTTCAAATGCTGTTTGAGTCAGAAAGTGTGTACCAATGTCGTATGTAACTTTAGAGACGGTCCCTAAATTCAGTGACAGACGTAACGTTAACACGAAACAGCGAGCTAACAACCTAACGTTGCTGAGGAAAACTGAGTTAAGAAACACCACGGTTAAGAACATCTTTTGTATTTTATTTTCAAGTTTGTGGTCATGTCGTCTGCATCGGAGGTGTATTGGAGTCTTTTCCTGTGATTGCCGTTGTAGCGGTGCTAACAACAGGTGAGCTTCCATCAACTTTACTAACGTTAATGTTACTAAATTAGCCAAATTAGCCTCTAGCTGCTGTTCTCCACTAACTCACAGAACAGGTTGACTTTTTAAAGAGAGGAACATGCTAGCAATATATTAATATAGCATGTTTTGCTGATAAATCAATGTTAAAAATGTTTATTTTATTAAAATGTAAATTCTGTTACTGTACGACATTTTTTTTCTGATCAAACTACAGTAACACAAAATGATGTTGTGACTCTGTCTGTTACAGGAGATTTCTCCAAGCAAAAACACGATCCTGACTATGAGAGGCAGAATCATCATACAGCCAGCTGTCCATTTTACTTTTGAACAGTAAGATTTTTCAATGTTTTTAAAGTCTCTTCTGTTCACCAAGCCTGCAATTATTTGATCCAAAGTACAGCAAAAACAGTACAATTTTGAAATATTTTTACAATTTAAGATAACTGTTTTGTATTTGAATATATTTTAAAATGTAATTTATTCCTGCGATCAAAGCTGAACGTTTAGTATCATTACTCCGGTCACATGATCCTTCAGTAATCATTCTAATATTTTGATTTGCTGCTCAGAAAACTATTATTGTTATTATTATGTTGAAAACAGCTGAGTAGAATTTTTTCAGGTTTCTTTGATGAATAGAAAGTTCAGAAGAACCCAGCTGTCCATTTTACAGAAATGCAGAATTAGGTAACACAAAATACATTTTGTTTTACGTTGCATTTACATTTATGCATTTGCAAGATGCTTTTATCCAAAGCAAGTTACATTGTATTTAAAGTACACATTTATTAAGTTATTCATTCCCTGGGAGTCTAACAGGGGTGGAGCTAGGGGTGGGCTAAGGGGGCTGAAGCCCCAAATGTTTTTATTAGTGTCTTATGCACATCAAGATTGAGTTTTCATTATTAATCAAAATTAGATTATTATTACTGTATAGCATCAAATATAGATTTTTAAGTAGGCCTATTATATGCACAGACTTTATTGGAGACACACACACACACACGCATTTAGAGCGATTATATGAACAGATTAGTTAGCATTTAGCCTAGTCTGTGGCAGGCTTTACTAAGAGTCAGGGCAACAAAATTCAATAAACAAGAAGTTAATATTAAGAATAGCTAATATTAAAATTGAATATATTTTAAAATGTAATTTATTCCTGCGATCAAAGCTGAACGTTTAGTATCATTACTCCGGTCACATGATCCTTCAGTAATCATTCTAATATTTTGATTTGCTGCTCAGAAAACTATTATTGTTATTATTATGTTGAAAACAGCTGAGTAGAATTTTTTCAGGTTTCTTTGATAAATAGAAAGTTCAGAAGAACAGCATTTATCTGAAATAGAAATCTTTTGTAACATTATAAATGTCTTAATCATCGTTTTTGATCAATTAAAAGCATCCTTGCTAAATAAAAGTATAAATTTCTATAAGTTCTTTCACAAACAAAATAAATAAAAATAAATAAATAAATAATCTGACTCCAAGCTTTTGAATGGTATAGTGTATAATCTTACAAAACCTTTTTATTTCAGATAAATGCTGATCTTTGGATCGTTCTATTCATTAAAATAATCCTGAAAAATGG